AAAAATCCCTCCCCTTCTACGATCCGTTTTGGAATCGCCATGAGCGTTACTTCGAGACAGCGGCAGTCTCTTCACCTTCCTACCTTCTATCCTTTTTACTTTACTTTCCTGGACTTTATTATCTTTGTAATTACTTTCTCTCCTACCGTCCAGTTTTCTGCGCTTTCCACCATTATGTTGATTGGGTTATTCTTCTTGACTCCCCACCACCCTGCTCGTTGATTCCATGTTAGCCGTCTATTTTTTGCAATTGAAAATGGCGTGCTCCGCATCGTCAGTTCTGTGCTTGCAGAATCTACAGGCGTCCGATCATTTTTGTGTATGGCTCTCCAGCTTACAGAAGGACGTTCCCTGTCAGTGGCAGTCGATGGATATACCTCTAACACTTTTACCATCAACGCTAGTTTTCCCCAGGGATTCATATTGTCTCCCACCCTCTTTTAATCGTAAAACCATGACTTATTGGAAAAAACCAAGAATACAATGTATTGCTTTGCTGACAACAGCACACTTGTTTCGTCATTCCAATTGGATACCAGAGCATCGGCTGTGGATGCACATATTCACTGCCAGCAAATGGTTGCATGTCTTGATGAATATTTAGAAGTGATTTCTAATTGGTGTGGAAGTAACCAGGTTCAATTCAATGCCACCCAGGCTTCCTTTTTCTCCAAAAAGATAAATGTCTCCGAACCGGATTTAATAATGCCAGGACAGAAAATTTCGCTTTCAGCTTCGTTGAGTTTATTGGGGGTTGAAATGGACACCAATATGATATGGCACAATCATGTCGCTGGAATTGCGAAGCCTGCTTCTCAAAAGCACTGAACCAGAACCAGAAAACTGTACACACCCTATCATCTTTTCATGTTTTATAAAGCTCAGATTAGACCTTCTTTGGAGTATTGATCTCATGTATGGAGCTTCGCCCACAAGCATTCCCTGAAGCTGCTGGATTCCGTACAGAAAAGAATCATCCGCCTGATTGGAGACGCGAACATCACTTGCAACCTTGATAGTCTGGAACATCGAAGAAAGTTTGGAGATTTGCCTCTCTACTATAGATACTTTCACGAGAAGTGTTCAAGTGACTTGGACATTCGATTCCACCGCGAGCGGTACATATCAGAAATACGGCATGGAATGTGGCTGCTCATCGCTTTGAGGTTCAACTCAGTGCAATTCGAAATTCAGTGTTCAAGAACTCTCCCATTTGGGGAACTGCATTCATGTGGAATAAACTTCCTGGAAATGTTCCTGGATATTCCTGTAGTGGTTGTGTTTTGTCCATGAAAAAAAAACTGAGGGATTGTGTGGTGTAATACCCCACCCCGCCATGTCTCCTATTGACCGATTTCCCCACATCTTTGATTAGGGTCCTGGTCCATTGCCCCTTTCCAGGTCCACTCCAGGCCGCTTGCCACCGCTCTCTTGTTCTCTCTCTTTCCACCCTTGGATTCCTCTTCTCATTGGCGGTCCTGTATAGCCTGTCCCTTTCTTTCGCCATTTTCTCAATTGGGATAACTCCAGCAATCGCCAGCATCTCCTCTCGCGAGATGGTCCTGTACGCGCTTTGTATCCTCATGGCTGCCGTCCTTGGGAATTTGTGCAGTCTCGCCAAGTATCTTCACCTGGTGAGCGCTGTTCTTTACATCGGCGCGGCATACAGTAATAACAAGTAGACAACGCTGCATAGTACCTGTCTTTTAGTGGCATTGGGTCCTTCTATGTTAGGTATTATTTTGGATAGTACCGAGAGGGTTTTTTCTGCCTTCTCTGCCGTCCGGTGTACATCGCCCTGTTGGCTATCCAGAATAACTTGTGTGGGGTTTCTTTGAAATATGGTTCACTACGACCCAGTAACAACAATGAAGGATACGAAATCGACTGTTAGAACTGCTTTCAATATTATCTCTGTAGAGTAGGGAGGGTGTAGACCCAGAGCACTTAGGCCACATGTGACCCATTGTACATCCTCCCGAGGGGTTGTCCTCCTAGGTCATCGTCCATTCTGTCCTTTCCAGGAAGGTGGACAAGTCACTCCTTTATATCGGCAGGTGTAGGCCAAGACTCGCCAAACACACACTTTCTTATTGAGGTAAAATGGAGGTATTTCCTTAGTTGACAATGGCCAGTCAGAAATCCTACTGTTAAGCGTAGGTTTTTCCTAGTTATCGCCAATTTTTTTTTGGCGCCAGCTTCCCAGGGTCGCCCAGAGTGATTCTGGTAAGACTTGTCTGTTTAAAAAAAATCTGTATTTCCGTTAATTAGCTGCCGCCCCCATACGAACGACAACTCTCAGAAGTTGAGAAACTTGTGCAAGCTAAGGACTAACGAGGTCTTACCTTTTAACATGTGATTCCTAACACAGAGAACACAGACTGCATTCTTTGATTCCATCCTATCTTTTTAGGAATTGAGCATGGGTGTGACGTTTGGCTGGTTCCGCAATTGTCGAAGTCATCAAGTCGTAGGTGTACTAGGTTCTAAAATTATTAGTCCAGCCGCTTCCTTGGCTGAGGAATCGACAATGCGATTACCTTTACTCCCGTCGTGCTCTTTAACCTAACTCAGGATAATGTTATTATCTACCGGGGCTTTGGCTGAATCTTGGTGGCACTCTAGTACTAGGCCTGAGGTAACACGTTGTCTGTTCAAGGCTAATAGGACTTATCTACTATCGGTGCAGATTGTTATGTATTTGCATTTACAGCATCTGACTCTGCGGTTTGGTTTATTTGTATTTCGTAGGGTTTATTAGACACAAACCTGGATTCAACTGCATTACTGGCTGCCTGCAGCAGCCTACTTCGATGTCTACACCAGCCGTGCGCAATCGTAACATGGCCATTAACGCAACCTCCTTAACGTACAGGGGGCAACGCCGTTGGTGTTGTTCTCATGGCTCCTGTGATGTTTAAATAATGTTGGATATGATTTTTGGATGGCCGTTGCTTGTAGAACTTTCGGTCCCCATGCAATGGCTCCGTACGTTAACATAGGTCTTATTATTGCAGTGTAGATCCAGGTGACCACACGGGGTGAAAGCTACATATTCTCTTTTTGCTCCATTCTGTGGGTGAAAGTTCCAGGTTAGCTTCCTGTCGAGGGTAGTACCAAGGTATTTCACCTCTTCAGAGAAGTTTAGTTTACTTTTGAAGATTTCGGAAGGTTTTAAGCCCGTTAAACTTCTTTTCCTGGTGAAAAGGACCATCTCAGTCTTCTTGGGATTGATCGAAAGTGAGTGTTCCTCACACTTTATTTCTAATAATTTGAGCCCATCCTGCGCTCTATCGCACAGTGTGTTCAGAAATTTTCCGGTCTGCAAGATGACTATGTCATCTGTATATGCAATTGTGTAGAATCCATTATTGTTGAGGATATTATTCAGGGTACTCAGAACTATGTTTCAAAGAAGGGGTGGTAAGATCCCTCCCTGTGGACATCCCCTCATGACCAGTCCTTTCACTGTGATATCTTCTACATTAATACTTATTGCTCTGCTAGAGACCATCTGGAGTATCCATTCTCCTACTACCAGGGGTACATTCCTGGAGTTTAGTTGCTGGGTAATTGTTGGAAAGGTTGTTTTATCAAACGCTCCCTCGATATCTATGAATATACCCAGGGTGGATTCTTTGTTGTCCAATGATCTCTCGATTCTGCCAAGCACATGGTGAAGAGCCGAATAAGAGCCGAATCAGTAGGCCTTCCAGGAGTATAAGCATGCTGATTTGGATGAAGTGGGTTGTTAACAAGTACCTCATCTCTTATGTTCCGCTCACATAGCCTCTCCAGAGTTTTCAAAAAGAACGATATGGGACTAATTAATCAGAATGCTTTTAGTGAGGTGTAGTTCATCCTACTTGGTGTAGGTATAAACACTACTCGCACTTCTCTCCACTTACTGGGAATATATCTTAGAGCTGAAGAAGCTCTGAATATTCCAACCAGGTGCGGCATAAGAATATCCACTCCCCATTGAAGTAAGACTGGCCCTATACCGCCAGGTCCTGGTGACTTGAAGGAGGAAAAGCGCTTTCAATAGTTTAACTGTAGACTCAATCAGAAGCGCTACAAATGAAAATCTCTTGGAGCGATCACATATTCGTTTAAAAAGAGGTGAAGATGTGTTCGAACATATTCTTCAATACACTGACAATTGAATTTACTTATTATTCCTTGGAATTATTTTCAGTTTGTGTGTGAGCGTTAATAAAACTATTGTTTGAAGAGAAGTTTCATTTGATGATTGAAGAGTATTTTGATAAACATTCATCCATCTGTGAGTGATGAAGGAACATCGAACGGAATCTGTTGAATTTAAAAAATAAGTGATGAATACAAGAAAACCACGTCTGTTTCACTTATTTTTTTATGTGATCAAAGTATCTGCATTTTTAAAGACCCTGTGTGAAGCAAATGAAAATATGACCCGAAATGAAGATCCTCATGGTATAACTTCACTCCATTTTGAATTCAATCATCTCAGTATCAGAGTATTCAAGTTTATCAGCGTTTATGAATGTACATGTTTGATAAAAACAATCGAAATTAATTTATATCTTCTGAACGGTAACAGATAGGTGTGGAAAAATAGTTGTTGACAAAGTGATGGATAATCATATGATATTGTATACTGGGTGTTCCATTTGAAACATTAAAGTAGCCGCTACTTCATATTGGAAGCCGCATCGTCTAAAATATTTTAGCCGTGTAGATCACATTAATAATTAAGGCAACATTTTCCGATGGATCCGTTGTCTTATTTGCGAGAAAAGTCTAATTAATGCCCTGTATAGCCATATCCTTATTCAAAGACATATGAGAGATGACAAGTTCGCTTTGGTGATTGAAGATTTAGCAAAAATTTTTGGTTTGGAATTTGTCCCTCGTTTGTATCTACCTAAGTGAGTAATTGAGCGGTTGTATAACCATCTATCTTCTTCGAATCAAGATGGGTTTAACGATCTGAAACTAACTAGCTACTGACTACTTACAACAATTATCTCCATTCCAGTCATCGTGTTCAGCTACTGGTCTTTTTCTGTATAGATGATCCCAGTAATCATCATCATGTTCGTCGTCTGAAAAAAGAAAAAACTAATTCAACGGAATTATACTAATTCAATGAAAATTATACCCCTACAGTGTGTTACGGTTCAATTTTTTCAATCGTTTAAAAATTTCGTTTTTATATTTTCGATATACGATTAGATCAATCAATGCATTTTTCCAACTTTGTGACCGTTTTCATATAACTTTTCTGCATATTGGTGATCCTTCATTCATTTTCAATCCGCATATGAACATTCCGATATAAAAACTGTGATATATGGCAGATTATATCATTCTGTATATGTATTGGAAATGTACTGTCCGATTCTAGTTTGTTCTCATTACTTCCTGAAACACAACACACTTTTTATATTTGAAAAGAAATGCTTCAACTCTTGCTTTTTCATGGTCGAATTTACAGATAGAAGAAGTTAAGTAGGGATGCAAACTCCTATATAAAAATGCATCATCATTTGGGTATTTACGTCGAGTTGATACAGCTCTTCTTGGCTCCGTTTCACTACTCCAAACTAGTAGAGTAAAATTGTGATGGCAATCATATTCACAGCAGCGACTTATGTTTTCCCCGACAGTTCCGATGACCAGATCTGTCGAAGTTTGTACTGATACTTGCAGCGGAGAGAGTTCTTCACTGCTGTTACCTCTTGTGAGTGGCGTCGTTCCACCCCGATGTGATAATACGTCTTTCCTGCATCCAGATGGTGCAGATTGCTTTCACCTACAAGCTGCATATCCTCTTTAATTTCATACCGATAGCATTTGATTATTTTCTTCAAGACAAAACACAAGCACTACAGGAAAATCCTTAAGGCGCTCTTAGGGATGTGCCTGTGCAAAAGTAGTGATTCACATTGGATTTGAATCGCTGCATATTAAATCCATTTAGCATCAGCATACAGCATCAGCTGTAGCTATTAACGGCAAACATATAAAATATATCATATAACATATAAAATAAATCTAAAACATGCAGTTGTTTACATTAAAGTTTGAATAAGAAATTCAACAATATTGTTGATATTGGTATTTTGGAAAATTTCACTTAGTTTGGAGGGAATTTATTTGTTCAGTCTCTCAACTGTGAAGAGCGGGCACTCTACCAGAACATGCTTAACAGTCACAAACACTTCACACGCGAAACATTTTGGTGGCGGTTCTTTCCTCAATAGATGTTAATGCGTAAGGCGAGTGTGGCCCAGTCTTAATCTGGTAATTATGACTTGATGGAAGCGGTTTGTTGCTTTATTGTTCCAAGGATATAATGTGGCCTTGATTTCCTTAAGTTTGGAAGGTTTTTGAGACCAGTGGTGATTCCACATTTCTACAATTTTGCAATGGAAATAGGATTTGAGATCTATCGGCAATGCTTTCATATTGAGATTACATGCTGGATGTTCTACAGCTTCTCTGGCAAGTTTATCGGCTATATCGTTTCCAGAAATCCCAGCATGTGAAGGAACCCACAGGAGAGTTATTGTCCTGTTATCTAGTTGTTTCATCTCCTCTTTAATCATCTCAGGAAGTTTATTCCATACAAGCGCCGTTCTCCAGATGAAAGAGTTCTTGAACAGTGAAGTTCGAAATGAACTGAATTGAACCTCAAAACGAAGAGCAGCAGTCCGTCACTTAATTCTGATATGTACCTCTTTTGGTGAAATCAAATGCAGACGGTGTTCATCATTCAGAAAAGGGCGAGTAAAAGTTTTCGTTACTTGTTAGTATTTTCGTGTTATCGAAATTGATGTTATGTCCTGTCTGCAGTACGTGTTGGAAGAGAGAAGACGTGGTGACTTTTCCCTTCGCTGGTAGTTTGTGTTCATCTTTGCGAATGTTGATTCGTCTGTTGGTCTGGCCGATGTAAGTCCTGTCACAATCATGGCATGGTACTTCATACACTCCTTGTGACTCCAGTGGTATCTGATCCTTGGGACGACGAAGCATGGAGCTTATTGTTCGTTCTCGTACGAACGAAGTTGATATGTTGTGTCGGCGAAGAATTCTGCTGATTTTATCTGTTGTTTCTGCAATATATGGTAGTGTGGTTGTTATGACCAGTGTATCTCGAGTTTTTTGTTATTTCCGTGTGGTCTTGGCAGCCGCTTTTATACTTCTTTCTGAGTAGTTATTCATTTGTAGACTTGTTTCGATGGTGTTCAACTCTTGTTGTCTGTGATCGTTGTCTGCCAGCCTCCTCGAACGTGTAATGAGTGTTTTTGCCACCGCGTGAATTTGTTTTGGGTGGTGGTGCGACTTTGCGTTTAGGTACCTATTCGTGTGTGTTGGCTTTCGATATACCGTGTGACCTAATGTTCCGTCTGGCTTTTTTATAATCAGTACATCGAGAAATGCGAGCTGGTTGCCTTCTTCAACTTCTTTCGTAAATTTAATGCGTGGATGGATTTCATTCATTAAAGATCATTGTCGCCCACTTTTTATTTATCTCAAAATAATGCCTCTTACTACAGCTTTTGTATATGAAACATTGATTGAAATTCATAAAAATAAATCAAAATACATTTTACAATCGCAACAACATGAATATCCTACGAGATCAGGAAATCTGATAAGAACTGAGAGATTCAGACTGAGCACCTCACAAAATAATTCATTGAATTTGAAATTCTATAATAAGTTACCATGTCACATAAAACAACTCAGTTTCTACTGTTTCAAGCAAATATTTTAGTCGTACATAGATGTGTTCCTTATTACTGTATGTAAATGTTCATTGCAATGCTTTCATACTCTTCAACAAGTGAGTCAATATTATTATTATTATTACGGAGATGTGTGGTTAATGTAAAACAGTAATCGCCAACGCAAATTCAGACTGCCAGTGACCCCAACCCCAACGAAAGAAAATCACCAGTAAAAAAGTTTGCGTGGCTGGCCTCTTTTTTGAGCTAATTCGTCTGGGCTAATAATCAGTGATTTACCAGATGACTTCGCTATCGACAAACACTGCTATTAACAACTTCATCGTGAGACCTGATTCCTAGTAAAATAAGCTGAGAGTAATTGATACGGTTTTGAATGATTTCACAGGCGAGGATGGTATACTTGATCATGAAATATTAGTCGTTTTATATGTTATTTTTTCTCTGATAGATCATAAGATTCCTCCCAATTTATTTATTTATCTTTCCGTTCGAAGGTAACTGAATGTAAGACTTTGTAGAGTGGAAACTTATGCTGGAATGAAATCCGTATTTCCATAGTAAAAATAACATTGAATTGAAGGGGTTATATTTTTTAGGAGTGATTAATTTTTGGGAAAGAAAGTTTTTGGCTTTCTACTACTCCATCTTGATACAAAAACAAGGATGAGGGAATCTTCCAAAGAAAGGAAGGAAGTAATCAATTTGAAAATAAGTAACTTTTTACATGGATGTTCTATTAGAAGTATCAGCTGCACTCTGGTGTATATTACGTTGGAGAATTTACCTCCTGGCCAACGAGTTTACCCTTCATATGGACAGCCGAACTTTAACCTATCTCAACTCTTGTCGACTGTTGAGTCCAAGAATCACGAGATGGGCTCTTGCCCTTCAGGATTTTACCTTTCAGATTGTACATGTGCCAGGAAAGGAAAATTTTCANCTGACATAAATGACACCCAAGTTGACTTGGGTGTCACACCAATAGGTGGTTCCACTTATGTTTCACTTGCGTTTACGCAGCTATTTTTATCAAGTACTTTTCTGGTTTTTTGACATTTTGTCTTCCAATTCCAGGACATCGGCCTGGATTTAATTGTCGTCCTGGGTTCGAATCCTGGGTACCTGCTGTGTTTTGCCTACCGGTTTGCCTTTATTCATTGGAGCTCGGACACCAGCGGAGCTGGAACTGGAACTGAGACTAAACTGAACTGCCTTGGTTGTTGATAGTCATCTTCATTTTATTCAGGTTGGAAACTTATTCCTTACCCTTTCAACTGTCTTTCGTCAGGAGGACCAGTGCTTCATGACGTAGGGTGTTTTGGTGGCGGCATTAAGGTCAATGACATCTATGCCGCTCAGGCCTTGTGTACCCCTTCCTTATCGTGGTATTTGATGAACAAACTGTTCATTTTAACAGACGTCGTGAGGTCTTCACTCAACGGAGCGACGGGGCCTTCTGTATCGAGTGGGGTCGTCTATAGTGTAATCTACAGCTTCCCTGACTAATGGGTTATCATGAGTTTCTGCTGACTCGAAAACTATCTGATTACTCGACTGAATGGACTGCCGTATAATTCACAGCTTCAAATCTCAGCGGATGGCTTCATTCATCACGAACCATGGAGCATTCACTAGCATCCTGAGAAGTTTATTTTGCAACCTTTCCAAAGTGAAGAGGTTTGACGGAGCGGTTTGTCCCTAAGCGCCTGAAGCATGCATAATGACAGGCTTGAACATCGTGTTGTATAATAAAATCTTATTTCTGAGACTGAGCTTAGAGTTTCAATTGATCAGAGGATAGAGTTTAACTATCCTCATTTGTACTCTGTTCTTAATATAGTCGATGTGATTTACCCAGGTGAGTCGGCGGTCTACCCAAAGACCTAGGTATTTGACTCCTATTCGATCTCCTTGCCTGAAATCGTGACTCTGGTATCTGGAGAAATGTTACGCCTCCCCAAATCTATCGCCTGAGTTTTTTCTGGGTTCACCCGAATCTTCCACTCCAGGTACCAGCGTTCGAGGTCGTCCAATGCGCGTTGCATGTAGACGACCGCCAACCCTCGACCCATGGAAGAAGCGAGGAGAGCCGTATCATCGGCATATAGGAAAACCTTCACGTGATCGAACCTTGGAATGTTGCTCACGTAAAGGCTATACGAGGAAACAGCACAACTCCTTGAAGCACTCCAGCTTAGAGCCTTCGTGCCATAGTCGGTCGAAGGCTTTCGAAACGTCCAGGACAACAAGATGGACTGTCTTCTTATTATTATGCTCTGAGATGGAGTTTTCGACCAGTCTCAATGCCTTCAGCTCGGTGGAGTGTGCCCTCCTGAAGCCGAATTGTT